TTCAACCTTTAATCTTGCTCTAAAATTGCTTTGGAGGCAATTTAATCGGTAGAATAGGGTTTTGGGTCAAGAGAATCGACAAGATTTAGCAGGGAAATAGGGAAAGGGAATCTCAATCCCTAAACCCCTTTTTAAAACCCCTCTAGTCGCGACACTCTCACTACGGCGAGATATTCTCATTGCAGTGAGGGGACTGCGAGGGGAGCAAGGTCCCCTCACTGCAGCGACTCTTTCCCTTGCTACAGCGAAAAACTTAGACAAAACTACTCTCTGGTTTCTGCAGAATCTCGCTACAGTGAGACTGCACTCAGAAATGCAACCAAAATTGTGGCTTTGTCGCTACAGCGAGAGGCCTCTCGCTACAGCAATAAGGAGACAGATTCATCCTTCTCTCCCAGTGCCCTCTCGCTACAGCAAGAATGCCCTGCAATAGCATCACACTTAGCCTGTTTTTAGCCCAATAAATCCAGTCCAATTATATATATTTATATACACACATCCATACCCACAAACATCATCATTATGCATTCAAATGTAAATTAATATTACAAAAATTTGGGACGTTACAATAATAGAGGAAGAACGCATTGCAATTGCTTAGGAAAAGGGAAGATGAAACATCATGGATGACAGAGCATGGGAAAAAGAATAGGGCGTTATGTGAGCTTTTACTTTTAAGAATTAATCTAAGTAGTTATATTTAGTCAAATGTATTTCATAATGATGTATGTTCCTTATTACATGATGTCTTTTTATAGGCTAGATTATGTAAGATGGTAGAAACATAGACTTCTCATACTAACTAACTTAACAAACTCAATTATTGATCCAATTGGTTGTAATAGACAACAAAACAACAAAATTCTCCTAAAAATTGAAAACTAACATTCTAACAAATCCTCCCTTGATACTGAACTTCTAAACAAGAAAACAGTATTAGCTACACAATTCAACCATTCCTAACCTTTTTCTAAGACTGGTAAACAATTCTGATTTTAATGACTTAGTCATAATATCTGAGAGTTGATCTTGAGACTTACAATATACAAATCAATCACACCATCTCTATGAAGATCTCTTAGAAAATGAAAGCTTACATTAATATACTTGTTTTTGCCATGAAGAACTAGATTCTTTAACTTGATTATTGAGTTGTTGTCGCAAAATATAGTAATAGGTTATTGTTGAGTATATCTAAGTTTTTCAAGTATCCTTCTTAACCATATACCTTGACAAGCACATGAAGTTATGATAAATTCATTTTTTATATATATATTTTAGTTAGCTTTTTAGCATATTTTTAATAGAAAAATAGAGTTAGAAGGTTTGAATTCCATCAAAATATCAATTTTGTAAATAAATTCAATTTCCATAAATTTGTTCAAATTGAGTAGATTTTATAGGTCTTTTTTGAAATTTACTTATTAGAATGAATGTGCAGGGAATTTTGAGCAATGAATTATGGGATTAAAGTTTTTAGAGGAAGAACTGGATGAAAGTGATCACTTTTCCCTTGGGAAGTAACAACTCCAAAGCCATTTTGAAAAAATTCAGCCGTGCGTTGACACTATCAACACCCACAGTGAGTGTTCTAGAAGCATCCTTCAAAGAACAAGGATGTGCGCTCACTCTGATCACTTATAGTGATAACACGCAAGTTTATTTTGCTGAATGAGGCTACGCGTTGCTCCTTTCACTATTCAAAGTGATTGTTCCAATCTTGAAGCACTATAGGAAGCTCTTTACGTTCACTTTCATCATCCAAAGAGACAATGTCAGGAAGACGGGATTATTTTGACAATAGATTTATTGACAATAAATTATTTTGTAATTTTGGATTCCACCTCCACGGAAGGCTAAGGATTGATGATTGATTCCTAGTGTAGTTCATAGTGGTTCTTGAGGTTTGAGATATATTGTTAATTCGAATTGCCTATTTACATAGGTTCTATTTTCTATAATTTCTTTAAATCTGAGTTTGGAATTGAATAAGGATTGTTTGCTTAATTTAATTCATGTTCTCTTCTTAGCAAAGAATTCATGATTCAGTTTGTTTAATTATAAATTAGATTCCAGATTTGCTTAATTCCAATAATCAAAGATTAGTATTCATGTAAGTTGCTTAATCATGCATGTGAAATTGAGAGTTAATTGACTCTTGTTCTGATTAACTCAAATTTGAGAGGGAATTAGGATTTGTTTCTTGTTAACTAATGATTAAATCAACTATGGATGAACTACGGATTGATCTAATTTGTCAAATCACTTTTTTAATTTTATATTTCTACTTTTGATAATTAAGAACTTTAAAACCACAATCAAACTCCCCTATTTTCTAAACCTAGTGCACACCATGTGTTTGATATTGAGTCAATCAATCAATGACTTATAGGAGCACAACCTAGGTTGATTTCACCTAGTATGACATTTTATTTCTTCATATTTTAATTAATTACAACAGTCCATCAAGCTATAATAGTAAACTAAGCCTTAATAAGGGATAAAGTCATGACAAATTGCTTCTTGAAGTACCATGACACATCACTTAACCCAAGCATGAAAACATACCCTGAAATGCTTTTCTTGTCATTAATATCCGTAACGTAGTCACTATCTGAATGGGCTATTAAATCTCCTCTTTTGTCTCTTCTACACATAATGATAAATTCTAAGGTTCCTTTTAAGTATCTAAGGATTCTCTTTGCAGTAACTAGATGCATCTCAATTGACTTTTCCATATATCTTATAACAAGACCCACAATAGACATTAAATCTGGCCTAGTACCAGTAAGATACATCAAACTTCCCACCATTTACGTTCATTGCAATTCTTGTTTCATCTTTGGACAACTTAAAGATTCAGGCACCATAGGATTAGTCACACTATAGCTATTCTGCATACTAAACCTTTCCATAATGTCTTTGGCATATAAATATCCCTTCAGCACATTGTGTTACTTCTATATATGCCTAAGAAAATTTTATTCTTCCAAGATCTGTCATATCAAACTCCCTTTACATAGACTCTTTAAATTCATCAAACATCTTCTTATCATTACAGTGTAGATTAGATCATCTACATAGAGGCTCACTAGTAATAATTGTCCTACTGATCCTACTTTAACAAACAAAGTATGTTCATGAGAACATTTTTCAAAATCTTGGTTCTAAAGTATGATTCTATCGTGTTGTACCAAGCCCAAAGGGCTTGTTTTAGGCCATACAAGGCCTTTCTCAACTTGTAAACATTGCTTTCCTTACCCTGCTTCTGATAACCTAAAGGTTAATTAATATAAACCACCTCATCCAGCTCACCATGTAGGAAAGCACTCTTGACATCAAGCTTAAACATATTCCAACCTTTAAGAGCAGCTAAGGCCAAAATGATTGTGATTGTATCCCACCTTGTAACAAGAGAAAACACTTCATTGTAATCAATTCCATGCTGCCGAGAGTATCCTTTTGCCCACCAGTTTAACTTTGTATTTTCAACTTTCTCATCTTCATTACACTTGGTCTTATAAATCCACTTCACTTTTATAGGCTTAGCACCAGGAGGAAGAGTGGTAAGCTACCAAGTGTAACATCCTTATTTTTGTATTATAATTATAATATTGAATATTGATTATATGTATGAAAATTAATTAATTTCTAGAGCATTTAAATGGTGTGAGTTATAGGATATCTCGTCCAGAATCACGCTCTCTCACTGTAGCGAGGATTCTCTCGCTGCAACTAGAATGACAGACAACAAAGTAAAATTTTTTCTGATTTTTTTGCTACAGCAAGAAGAGAGCTCGCTATAGCAAGAATTCCTCGCTATAGCAAAAGATGGCTCGTTGTAGTGATGATCTTGATTCTAAAGACCTAGCAGAGATTAAGAGCTGGCATGGGAATGAATAGTATCGAGTTCTCAATATTGAAATGTATTTTGGGTGCTGCTCTGGGACTTAAATAACTTTTTGTGATATAATTATTTTGGTCATGTAAATATTATTTTGAGTCTCACCTATTTTGACAAATAATTTGTAAATTACTGTATGAAATATGTATAAATGCAGGCCTTGTACCAATGCTTGTAAAAATTTATTTTGGATAATTATGACTTATATTTACTACTATTTACTTAATATTTCTCGGATTGGCAGACTTTGTAAACAACCTTATTCACAAATAGATATTTTAACTATTTATACTTATAATATTTGCCATATATGAAAATTTTATACATTATGCCAAGTTTGTATAATAGAATAAGCAACTTTTAAAACCTAAAAATTTAAAATGTATCAAGTTGGTATCAGAGCAATTCATCAAAACCAGCCTAAGCGTATAGGACTAGTTTGTTTGTGCTATGTGCTCATATATTCTTGTTTTACAAGAATATGAAGTGATTGTTTGTTAAGTATAGTCTATTAGTTATGGATTGTTTGATTTGTCTAAATTGTTTGAAATGTTTGCATTGTTAGAATTAGATATGTGATGTGTGAGATAGAAGCTGATTTGCTTATTTGGTCTTTCTTGAGATTAGAATTATGGCTGGTAGAGGTAGACTTGCTAGGGCTACAAATGAAATCTTAGCACGTATGGCACAAGTCCTGGAGACCTTGGTGCATAACTAGGATGCTGAGCCAGTTGACTATTGCAGGTTGTCATCGTTCACCAAGCATAACCCTCCAAAGTTTGAAGGGAAATTCGACCCTGAGGGAGCTCAAAGGTGGGTAGCAGACATTGAGAAGATTTTCAATGCAAGAGGATGATGAAGAGCACAAGGTGACTTATGTCACCTACATGTTAAGTAGCGAAGCAGAGGATTGGTAGAGGTTTGCCAATCAAACTTACCACATGAAGAAGGATACGTACAATGAGAGGCATTTAAGGTGAGTTTCTTAGGGAATTACTTCCCAAGGGATTTAAAGAAACAGAAGTCCAGAGAATTCCTTGAGCTGAAGTAAGGAAGCAAGTTAGTGGAAGAATACGCTGCAAAATTTCATGAGTTGATGACATACTGGTCACATTTCCAACACGAGGATGGTGACGAAGACCTGTGTGCCCAATTTGAGAATACGCTGAGGCCTGAGATTCGGGCAGTAGTCAATGTGTTCCAACTAACGAACCTACCAACTTTAGTGAGTAAGTGCAGAATTTTTGAAGTCAAGTCTAAAGAAAAATTATTGGACACTAGAGACAAGACCGAAGACCTCCAAGGTTCTAGAGGGGGCATACTCTAGCGCTAGTCAGTCTCAAGCAAGTAGGACTATGTCTCGTGAAAGGAAACAACAGTGGTTTCACCCTTTCAAGAGGGCCAATCAGATGTTTTTGCTGCGGAAGACCTCACATTGTGAAGAATTGCCCACAACCACCGTCAACATGTAGTATTTGCAAAAAGATGAGTCATTCTGCAAACACTTGCTAGTCTGCTCCTTAGAGAAGTGGGAGTGTAAGTGACCGTAATAGGCCTGCATCCTGACGAAGCAGTGGGGCAAAATTGAATGTGCAAGACGAAGTATTTGCCATGAATGAGTTAGAGGCATCCAAGTCAGACGATCTAATCAGAGGTAAATGCATCATTAAATATAGACTCCTTGCTATATTGTTCAATTTTGGTGCTACACATTCTTTCATTTCTGTGAATTGTGTGGGTTGCCTTGGGTTGCCTGTATCTCTCCTACCATATGATCTTACTGTATCTACCCCAATAGCTAAGCCTGTTGTGACCTCTTCTGTGTGCTTAAGTTGTTCTGTAATGGTTCATGGTAGCGATTTCAGTATAGATTTGATTTGTTTATCGTTTTCTCAACTTGATGTTATTTTGCGAATGAATTGGTTGTCATCCAATCATATCCTCTTAGATTACAAAGAGAAAGCTTTGATTTTTGGTGCTGGTATACTAGAAAACTACGTCAATCAACTCCAAGTAAGTTCTTGGAGCTTTCTTCTCTCTTTTTAGTTATTTTCTATGTATTCCCCTTCTCAAAATGTTTTCTTTTGTGATATCTAGGAAGATATTGGTTCTTTCACCAAAACCCCTCACTAACCCTCTTTTATAACTTTGTTCAAGGTAAGGAGGGCTCTATTTTGTGATTTTAAGCATAATAAATATTTTGCACCCATGAGAGTACTTTATCTATGTGTTCCTATATGATTTTTATGATTGATTAATATTTGATTGTTGTGAAAGTATGTTTGGTTGATTTTGTGTGTTAATGATATGTTCGAGTAGTATACTTGCTTGGAACTTAGTCTGAAAGTGCTTTACTAAGCATGATCTTTTTCGTGAGTGATGAATTTAGTATGAAAGAGAATATGAGATAAGTGTAAAAAGTTAAATGGATCTAGTGTGAATAGTTATAGAAATACACTGGGGTATAGAGTCCGGAGTTGATAGAAAATATGGGAGAAGCATAGGATGGTGAGTGACATTCACGCATGTGTACACATTCTTTCATAGAGTGAATGCGCCACATGGCCTTACACTCGTTTCCTGACTATACCTTTGCTAAGGGGCATGTTATTGTATACATTGTATTCATATGCATAGGCTAACCAGCGATTATTTACGTAGTTGTGTAAGACCTCAAAACTGCTAGAGGCATCGTATATCTATGATCACAGTGTACTGCGAGTGCGTATACAAAAAAGGGGAATATAATGATTTATAATAGAATATGTGTATATAATACATTATTGAAATTGATGTTATCTTTTGTTCCATGGTTATGGTTATGCTGCAATGTTAGTCTTTAAATTAGTGTTATGTTTAAATGATAAAATAAAAGCTCATCCTTACTAACATTTTCAGGGAACAAGGATGACAGAGCATCTGGAAAGAATTAGGCTAATAGATAGTTTGGTACATAATAAACTTAATTATATATTTAATGAATATCAAAGAACTTTGTTATTTTAAGTTTGTTTTCCTTGTTAAAGATATACCTAGGACTTTTATCACATTAGAGATAGATTTCTTTTATAGTGTTCCTTTTGATTTTCCTATGGTAGAATACATCATACCCTATGTATCCATATCTATAGAGGTATGTTAGAACTCTAGCAGCCTTCACATATATTTACATACCACGACCATGATCATCTTGGAAGACTATGTAGATAGACTTTTTAGCGAGCTGTAACACCTTATTTTTATATTTTATTTATATAACAATTTTGAAAATAATAAGGAAAAAATGAAAGAATCTTGAAAATATTTTCAAATGCAGAATAATTTGAAAGCAACTCAATTTAAAAATATAAAGTATCATTATAAAAGGCTTTCATAAACAATATTTTTAATGCTTTTGCTAAAGATTTAAGTAATAAATATTATTACAAATTATTACTCAAAATGGATGCCATAGAACTTTTAATCAATACATATTTCAAACACAGCTAAGTCCTATAGCAGTTCTTCATTCATTACAGCTCACAGAGTTAGGTGCTGATTTTCCTCGTTCCCTGAAAATATTATGTAAGGGTGAGTCTCTACCCTACCACACATACATCACATATAAGCATATTTCACTGATTAAAATCATGTTTTTACCGATTAAAATCTCATCAAATTAACAAGTACTTCATATACAACCTCAAATATACCAAGATCTATAAGAATACACCCAGATCTACTAGAATACAACTAGATCTACCACAAAACAAGTAGTTCACATAGGAAAATGATAAAGTAGAGCCCCTTACCTCAAAACAAAGCTTTTACAAAGATTTAGCCGAAGATTTAACTCTAGAACAGAGAGTTTCCTAGAACACCATGAACATCTATAAGAAAAAGAAGAAGAAGAGAAACGATTGGTAAATCTAACTTTAAATTTAGAAAAACTTACTTGAAATCCTTTAGAACGGATGTAGAATCAGAGATCTGAAGGAAAATCTAAGTTTATGAGGGTTTAGTATGAGAGAAAATGGTGAGATATAGCCTTGGAACCTTTGAGAACCTTGAATAGGAGTGAAAAAATGAAAATTTCGTGTGAAGCCCCCTTTTCATAGAAAATTTTAGAAATTTACTGTTTACCGCCGGAATTACTGTTCATGCCGAAAATACTATTTGTGGTCACTATTCACGCCATAAATACTGCGCACGTGTACTGTACACGTATGTGACGTTAGCATGACTTCAAGGTGACATTACTGATGACATCATCTTTTTTTTTAATGTAAATTTCATCCAAATCTATTCCAATTGTACTTTAATAAATCTCATTTTATTTAAATCAAAGTGCAGGATGTTACACAAGCTACTGACACAAAAGTCACAGCTGATTTAGGTGATCGTTATCTCGGATCAGACGATGATCTTGATTCTGAAGACCTAGCAAAGATTAAAAGCTGGCATGAGAATGAATAGTATCGAGTTCTCAGTGTTGGAATGTATTTTGGGGTTGCTTTGGGACTTAAATTACTATTTATGATGTAATTATTTTGGTCATATAAATATTATTTTGAGTCCCATTTGTTTTGACAAACAGTTTGCAAATTACTGTATGAAATATGTATAAATGCAGGCCTTGTACTAAGTTTGTAAAAATTTATTTCGGGTAATTATGACTTATATTTATTGCTATTTACTTAATATTTCTTGGATTGGCAGACTTTGTAAACAACCTTATTCATAAATAGATATTTTATCTATTTATACTTACAATATTTTTCATATACAAAAATTTTATGCATTATGTCGAGTTTGTATAAAAAGAATAAGCAGTTTTTAAAATTTAAAAATTTAGGATGTTACACCAAGTGTGGTTTCTTTTAATAGCACTTATTTCAACATCCATGGCCTTTCTCGAAACATTATGTTGTGTTGCTTCTTCAAAATTCTTAGAATTTGCAATATCCTTGAAAATGGCAAGTTGTGTATAACAACCTCATTTTATATAATGCAGTATAGAAAATAATTTCAAAATTTAGAAGGGAAAATTTAAATTAAGTTTGTTTACTTACAAAATACAAAGTGGGAAAAATACAAATCATTTTAGTTTACTCATACTTATAAAATTTAGATAACAAAGTAACAGGAATTAAACAATTTAAGAGGAAACATGAAATAACATTAATATACATTATTTTCATAATTTATAAGGGATTGAAATTTACAAAATATAACATCAAAATATATTAGGACTCATTTACAACATATATAATATACAAAATATAACAAGTTCTAGTGAGTGATAAATTCACATGTTTTTTAATATTTTACTTATCTTTTTCATAGATTTTTAATAGAAAAATAAAGTTAGAGATTGTAAGTACCATAGAAATTTCAATTATACCAATTATTATAGCTTTCTTGTTTTTGGTTCAATTTACATTAATTTTGTAATTATCTTTTGCAATTTTATTCACTAGAATAATTGTGCAGGAATTTTTGAACAAAATTTATGGAAATTAAACTCTTGAGAAGAAATGTGGTAAAAGTAACTACTTCCAGTACCCAAAATAGTCACTACAGCAAGCTATTTCCTAGAATCAATTGATAGTAACTACTTCCAGCAGTGAAAGTGGTCACTACAGAACCAGATCTGAGAGACGTGGCTGGGCATGTTCACTATCACTGATGATAGTGAACACTACAAAGAGCATTTCCTGCAAGGAGGTTGCGCGTGTTTACTTTCATTACTCATAATAAACATGTGCATGCATTTCATCCCAGTGAAGCTGCGCGTGTTTACTTTTGCTAGCCATAATAATTATGCATGCTGCACGTAATCACTTCCGTTAAAAAAAGTAAACACTATAGAGGGAGAAGCTGCAATGGGTTGCGCGTAAACACTATCAACAACTAAAGTGATCACTCCAGAAAGAGTTATTTTTACTATAAATAGGATTTTTACTTTTAAGATAGGGATCTTTTTGTCATTTCTAATACTTTTCATTTTAGATACATTTGCAAAGGCTTAGGTCAGACCTTGGGTGGCTACTAAGGGTTCCAAATTAGGGTTAATTCTTACTTTAATTTCCTAGAGTTTTATTGGATTTTATATCTTGCAATGATGAACCCCATTCTCATGAAGGGCTAAATTTTGTTATTAATCCCTAGTAAAATTTATAGAGGTTCTTGAAATCTTGGGTTTAATGCTAATATGAATTCCTGTCAATGAATTTCAACTTTCCTAATCTCTTGAAAATTTAGTTAAAGATAAAATGGAGATTGTTGCTTAATCAATCTTAATTTCATTTTTGACATGGATTCAAAGCTCAATTTGCTAAATTCTGGGTTTGGTTCTAAGTTTTCTTAATTCTAAGAACCAAAGATTGGAGCTTATGTAATTTGCTTAATCTTGCATGAGAAATTAGGGTTGATTGACGCTTGTTCTAATTGACCTAATTCTAGAAAAGGATAATGTATTGATTCTTAAGAAGATTCATAATGGAAACAATATAGATGAACTAGGAGTTAATATATTTTGTTAATTGAATTTTCTAACTTAATTTCTTACTTGAATGCCTTTAAATCTGAAAATAACAAACTCCTTTGTTTATTTTCTGAACTTAGTACTCATAACATGTTTGATGTATAATCTCATACCCTATATTCATAAAAGGGCGACCTAGTTTAGTTAGCCTAGCACTACATTAATTTTGTTTAAACTTTGATAGAGGCAGTGACAAATCTCTCCATCAATGAGTAGTCTATCAACCATAAGACTGAAGATGATACTAGTCGTCTCCATGCCATCTCTCTATCTCCACAAGGTCTTCGGAATCGAGATCTTCATCTGATCTGAGATAGAATCTCCAAAGTCTATAGTAACTTCTACACCTGAAACCTGCTCAAAGGTGACTCGAGTTGGTATCCCAAGGAAGTCATGATCAAGATACATGAACAAGTAGGTCACAGCTGCTGGAGTCCTAACTATGCCTTGATAAAGATACATGCATAAGATGTGGTGGATCATATTGGTTACAGAAAAATCTAAAAAGGCATACTATAGTATAATTCAATCCCAACATAATGGTATTCCTAGGTACATCATTGACATGCATAGCCAACGTAAAATAACATGTCCTCTAGTACTCATTAAAATACATAATTTAACCTACACTGTATAGAGCTGTCTATAAGTCTAATGCTCTCTCTCTAGGTGCTGTCATCCTAGTTTCCTTAAAAGTTATGTAAGAATGAGCCTTTATTCTCATTACCAAACATACATCACAATTAAAGCACACAATGCAAGTAAAGATAATACAACAATCAATTATGCCACAAAATCATATTCAAATACATGCATCAATTATTAATTATTCAATTTATTACATTTCCTTTCTACTAACACTTGGAGTCCTCATTTTACACTTTCACTGCTCCTACAATCCCTTGAGGTCTTCCTTAGCATAGATAGTTGCTGGGTAGCCGTAGCTACACGGATGCAACATATGCCAATTCGGCCCCTTTTAGGAAAGGCATGGTCAGGAGTTTAGGTCAAGAAATGAGTGTGAGGCTTGTGGTGCTCTTATTCTCATTTGTTATGTGCAATTCAAGAGAGCATCCACCACCCTTATTTCCCTAAGATTTCTCAAAATCGCCTCCATCTTCCACACTCTTAGTGTACCTCTAAATTGTCTACACTTGTCCTTATCATTTACTTTTCTCATTCTACTTCTCTTTTCATATTTCTCATCTCGTTTTCATATTTTCATTATGACTTCACTCCTCTTATTAGTCACTATAACTTAAACTCATTATTGTCTTTATACTCACATATTATTTACCCTTTTTCTTTTTCTAAGTTGCTCAAGTTCGTTTCATACATATGTTTATTTTCAATGCACATGTCATTTCAATTCATTAAGGATAGAAAGTCTCATGTTATCAACAAAATCATTTAGACATATATTCACAACCAAGAACACATAGCCATATATATACATACAAGAATAACAACTCATATTTTCAATAACTGAATAGAGCTCTCCTTACCTCAAAAGACAAGTTCAGGGAAGGTGGGAGTGGAAGAGGTGGTCCAATAAGCTAAGATCATCCTACACTTTACAAAGAGGAGTGCTCTTTAAGAAAAGTGAAAACAAAGAAAATAGAGTTGAAAATTAGAAGCCAAGCTTTAAGATACTCATCAACAATTTCATAGAGTTGAAGTTCGAGCTCAGATTTGGAGTAACTTCGGTGTTTCTAAGGCTTTTCTCTAGAGGAGGGAAGAAAGAGTTTCGAGAAAAAGAGTTAGGAAGTGTTTCTTGGAGTATAATGCAAGTCTCTGGTCTGAAATTTCTTAAATAGCCCTGAATCTCACGCGTTCTCGTTTGAGCGACGATGTCATCGTTTGGGCGAGCCACTTCTCGCCTAGGTGAGATATGCAGACAATGGTTCCCTCAACTATTTTTTGATATTCTCGCTTGAGCAAGCCCCATCTCGCCTGACGAGATGATGTCTAGAGAGCTGGAATTTTTTTTCTGTGAGTCCTCGCATGAACGACACATCTTACCTGAGAGAGATCTCAGCTCGCCTGGGCGAAATCACTCTCGCTTAAGCGAGGTGAAAGTTAGGCTAAATTCATCCTATCTCGCTTGAGCAAGAATCATCTCGCCTGAGCGAGATTGCCCTAAAAACATGCAGTTCTGGGTGCTTAGTCTCGCTTAAGTGAGATTCCCTACCCCAGACTTTTCTAAAAATGCTCAAAATTCATTCCCAAACACATCTTAACACTAAATAATTCATCAATTAATCAAATAATGAAAAAGAGGGTGTTACATTATGCAGCTCTCCATCTATGACAATCTTCTAACCATGTGGGTTGTCTTCTAATCCTTCCTTGAACCTAATTTTGTGCATTGCTAACTGATACATCAATTTTAGGTTCAATAGAATTTGTGTCACGAGTAGTGTCTCTTCAAATTTATCTACTGAGTCAACACTGCTGATATCATCTTTATTTTTTGCCATAATCTTTTATGTTATTTCTTCTTTATTTCATCGCTTCTATTTATTAGATTCTACAAACTTCGCATCTCTACTTATGATGATCTCTCTTATAACAAGATCATAGAGTCTATAGGCTTTGGATTCTTCACTTACTCCCAAAAGAACACACATGGTACTCTTCACATCTAATTTCTTCCTTTGAGCATCAAGTACATAAGCATAGGCCACACAACCAAACACTCTAAACTGTCTTACTGAAGGTTTAAGGCCACTTCACACTTCTTCAGGTGTAACAGGTTGTAGAGCTAAAGTAGGACTCCTATTTAACATATAGACTTACCAATTTATTGCTTCTAGCCATATTTTCTTAGGAACTTCCTTCTCTAATAGCATACTTCTAACCATGTCAATGATTGTTTTATTTTTTTCTATCTGCCACTCCATTTTGTTGAAGAGTGTATGTTGCAGCA